AGCGCACTCAATTTCTGAGCTTTAAGTCCCTGAATTTTAGTTAGTGAAGTTAAAATTCTACTTGACGTGCTGCACCATATGCCCCTTTCTTAATATGTCATGACTGTTGCTCATGAATAAAATTTTAAAAAAAAATAGAAAAAGCAATTTTTGTCTGTGTGTTTCTGTAAACTCTTTAACCCAGACTGTGCTTTCCTTACCAAAACTCATGCGGGATTTTTTCCCCCCAAGTGTCAGATCAAAGATACTGGTTCCAGCTGTTCTTGGCCAACTGTTGTAATTGGTAACAACTAAATAACAACTAAGGTAGCAGCACTCTTAAGTTTCTGGAAGTGATTTAATTCACAAGGAAAGCAAAGAAGAAAATAGAACAGTAAAGTCCTGCATCCTGAATGGTCTGTCAGCAGAGGAGGGGGAAAAAAATCGATATAAGGTGATCTCCCAGGCATGCCTTTGATGTTGCAGTGTCTGCAGCCAAGTGCTTCAAAGCTAGCATTTTGGTTTCTATCTGAAGATCAGGTTGTAAATCTAGCATAGCACTTCTAGAAGCTCCCACTAGCTTCTCCTCTGATGTTTTACAAAGGCCAGGTATTATGTATGTGCACAACATTACTCATTAGGCAGCCCAACAGGAGGAAATCTCAGGATTTTTGATCACCAGGTATCTCAGGGTATTTCTCACTGGTTATCGACAAAGAAAATGGTGAATCTTCTTCTAGAATGTATTAACAGGGATGTTATGGATGAGACACTGGGGGGAATCATGCTGATCTATTTGGTGCTGCCAAGGCACGTGGGGACAGTACGATGCCCATTATGGGGCACCGCAGGCAGGCACTGTTGTTAGCAACCCAGGTGCGCTGGCTGTGTGCCAGTGAAAAGTGTTTCAGTATGAACAGTCTAATGTGGCAGAGATGTTGAAGCAAACGCTTGCAGCAAAAGAAGGAAGAATAATTTGGTGGGAGACCACCTTGGGTGTTACAACAACACCAAACGTGTCTGCTTGGCTTAGCACCAGCGTTAAGTAACAAACAAACAGCTGCCTGCAGCACCCAGAAAGCTGTGGTATCCCTGCGGCACAACGGCAAGTGACAGACACAAATGCTGCAAATACCCAGGGAAATGTGGCAGTATTGAAGCAAGAAGGGAAAGTGATCTTTTGAAATCGTGTTTCAGAGGTTTAAGCGAAAAATATGTTAGCCATACTGGGAAAAGATAAAACCGATCCTGTCCTGGTGCCTACTGGGTCTCCAAAGTGAGGGCTTTGTGTATGGAATACACTGGGTGTCCTCATCTTCAACTGAAGCGAGAGAGGTAGATGAAAGGCAGACCACGGACAGACAAGGCAGGCAGTTTTTTCTTGTCGGTGCTCGAAAAGTTAAATGATATAGCATGCATAACCTCCCGCTAGTGTAAAAAGAGTAGTACAGGTTAACATCACATAATGGGAACTCATGGGACTCCAGGAGTGCAAGGGGTCTGGAAATATTAAAACATAAAACACCCTGTAACAACGTTTGGGCTGACAGCTCTGTCTGCTTTAATGCTAAATCTTGCGTGAAATGGATGACCTTTTAATTTCAAAGAGTTGGTTGGGAGGCAGAATTTTAACACCTACTTTGTGGTACACAACTTTCTGTTGTGTATTAGCGCTGTATTCTTTTATGAGCTCGTATCAGGGAAACGGGATGAGGAAGGATCTGATGTACGAGGAGAAGCTGGAAGTGCCTGGATTCTTCACCCTACAAAAGAGGAGGCTCGGGAGAAACCTTACTGATGTGTATACAGAGGCGGGCAAAGATGACAGAGCCAGACTCTTCTGGGTGACAGGACACGGGGGCAGCAGGCACAGAAATACTTAAAAACATAGAAAAACGTTTTTATTGTGAAAATGGTGGAATGGGTTGCCCAGAGAGGTTGTGGTGTCCCCATCCCTGGAGATACTCAGACCCCAGCAGGACAAGGTCCTGAGCAGCCTGTTCCAGCTGAACTCTGTGTGAGGGAGCAGGGAGGAGCAGATGCTCTCCTGAAGTCTCTTCCTACACCAAGGAGTCTACGAGTCCGGGGGAAGAAGGAGGCTCTGCTGCTTTAATGACGGACAAAGCAGTATTGCATTTCTGTCCTGCTTTAATCAGAGCGACTACCTCGCTGTGCCTCAGCCCTGTCAGTCCCCGAGATCTACCCCTTCACGCTTCCCAGCGCAAGAGACCCGGGAAAGAAACGCGACTCTTCCTGGGCCCAGTCCCCTCCGGGAAGAGGCGCCCCGCGAACACCAAGGACGCCTTCAGGGACGCCGCCCCGAGTTCGTGGGTTGCTGCCGCCGTTCCCCCTCGCCCCCCCCCCGCCGCGCAGGGC